CCACTTACCTGTTGATACATACCAATCACAATATTGAAGAAGCACAGTAGCATATGCCTATCTCTTTAAGATCATGTTTCTAGGATTGAGCCACTAATCTTTCAGCAGGCTGTCTATTGAAATTGTTTGGTGCTTGATTTTTGTGGACTTTAACAGTCGGCCAGAGTATTGATCAATGGAATATTAATAAACATTCTGAAATCATGGCTTGTCATAGAGAATTTTCATTCCAAACTAATAAACTGAGCATTCAAAAGGCAAATTATTGATCCCCTATGTTGTGCCAGAGCCAACATTCTGCAATGTGTTTTGTACTACTAAATCTTCACTGATGCTGGTGCTCTAATTCACTTGGGAACTCAAGTTGGAGACATTTTTACATTGGGAAAAGACATATTTATGTAGCAATTTTCATAACCTCAGGACATCTGAAAACACTTCATAGCCAAGTAAATACTTTTGATATTTAGGCACAATGGTAAGGAAATATGACAGTCAATTTAAATACAGCAAGCATGCACAAAAAAAGCTAGATAAATCACCAAAATATTGTGTTTTTTTCATTGATTGATACACTGGCTAAGCCACAGTTTATTACTCATCTCTAATTGAGCTAGTGGGCAATTGCCTTCAAAAGCCACTGTAGTCCTTGGGGAGTAGTGACGCCAACAGTGCTGATAGGAACGGAGTACCAGGATTATGAGCTAGCTACAGTGAAGGAATGCTGACTATAGTCACAAATTAGGATGGTGAATGACTTGGAGGGTGGTTAATCTGTTGCTCTTGTCCTTCTAGGTAATGTAGGTTATGGGTTTGGAAGGTGCTTTTGAAGGAGCCTTTGGTGACTGTTACAGTACTGCGTCTTATAGATGGTATACACTGCTGCATCAAGGGAAGAATCTCTGTTTAACGCTTTATCTAAAAATGGCACTTCTGATAGAACTGCAACTGTATTACATCCTAATGTCAATTAAAACTTTTATGGTGTCTTTAACATAAATGAACCCCTTTTTTCACAGAAACGTTATAAATGTATAAATGTGTCAATGAAGATTATAGAATGAGGCATGGATCTACAATTTGTTTTGAGTTAGAGACAAGAATATTACATTGAGAGAAATGGACACTTAGTTTACATTTTATTTTCCTCCTTTCTTGTGCAACAAATATTGAACTTGGTTTTGACCATTTTGCTTGATATTCTCTCAATAGCTGTTGACATTTCTGGTTCGCATTTTTCTTGTAGTAATAAATGGTCTTCGTAGAGGCAGAACCTTAACAGTCAGGGAGCTTTTCACTGGTAAAGTGGAACTTGTAGTATAGCTACACTTATGTTTTAATAAGTTGGTAGTATCCACTTGCAATTAAAATTGCTAATTCTTAAATTAGAGCAGAAAAAAAAGGTTAGTTTTGAGAGCTTAGAAATGGTACTTCCTACACAGTTGTATGTATTGCAGATTTATTAAGAGATGGTAACTTAAAATATTGATGTTTCTGATTAACTGGCTGCCATTATTAATTCCTGATAAAGGCCTGTTGATTTCAGAAAAAAAGTTAACTTGGCAATTGATCAGAATATTTGATTAATCTATTTTTAACTTATTTTTTGTGTAATGTTTATGTTAAATTGAAGCAAAAAGTATTTACTGGAAACAAGATTGGAATTTTTATGTGCATGCCATCTCACATGGGAGGTGCACTACTAGTTCATCACAGAAATAAAAAAATAATTTGAGTTGTATATTTTTAAGTTTAAATTGATTGCCCCTTAAATGTTGTTATCCCATTAATTTATCCTGTTTTACTTGCAGACTAAAGATTTCACAACTGTTTACTCTGACGTGCCCTTGACTTCTAATGCAGTTTCTTAAAGATTGCAAAAGATTTAAAGGGTTGACTCATTCTCAACCCTTCCAAATCATTTGCAATGTAAATTGTTGATTTTAAGTTCAGTCGACAGAATTTTTAAAAATCATTTTGCGCTTCTGGCAAATGTGCAAAAATGTGGATTTGATTTTAAATAATCAGTAGACATTAGACAGTGAACTGTATTAATTGATTGAACTTTGAGTTATCAGTGCTGCAACTTTTGAAAGTTGCAGGATTCTTAGGTTAATGTTTTTCTAGGGTCCTGCAGTTTGCCTGCTGACAAATTGTAAAAGTAGCATCAGTGAAAAATATATTGTTATAAATATCAGTGTATTGGCTTTCATTTCAGAAGTTGACACCTGTCCTATGAGAATGGCATGGACAAGCTGGGCTTGTTTTGACTCAAGTATAAGAGACTGTGGGGTGATTTGATTGAAGTCTTAAAAATCCTGAATGGTCTAGACAAGGTTGATGTGGAAAGAAATATTTCTCTTGTAGCTAAAATTAGGGGGTTGCCCTTCCAGGAGAGAGATTAGAATGATTTTTTTCCCAGAATTTGGAACCCTGCCTCAGAAGGTGGTGGAGATGGGGTCTGTAAATATTTTTAAGGCAGAGGTCAATAGATTCTAGTTAGGAAAGAGAGTCAAAGGTTATCCGGGGTAGGTGAAGAAATGTTGAATTTGAAACAAACCTATCAGCCACGATCTTACTGAATAGTGGAACAGGCTTGGGGGTGCCGAATTGTCTACCCCTGCTCGTAATTTGAATGTTCATATATCGTTACGATTGTAACAAACATGGATGATCAATATTCAAATTTTATCATTTGGCTTTAAGACCTAAGACTTTCATAGACTTAAAAAGAAAAGTATTATAAAAGACACTGCTGACCTAAAATGGCTGATGTGATCACCTGACAATCCCAGGCGACCTACATGGAACATATCAAGAATTCCTTGGCATTACTATTTCAGTTAAAAAGCACTGAAACTCCATGAGATATCAGGAAATTTGCATCTCTTATTTTATTCAGATTTGCATGCCAACTTCACATATTAAACATGAAAAGTTGCCTGCAGTGTATTCAGTTTGTCAGTGTGTCATGATGTGGAAGTGCCGGTGTTGGACTGGGGTGGGCAAAGCCAGGAATCATCTGATACTAAGTTATAGTCCAACAGGTTTATTTGAAATCGCAAGTTTTCAAAGTGCTGCACCTTCGTCAGGTCCACTTCATCTGACAAAGGGGCTGTGCTCTGAAAGCTTATGATTTCAAATAAATCTTTTGGACAATAACCTTGTGTTACATAACTTCTGACTTTGTTCACTTTAGAAAAGACAATGGAGCTAAACTGGAAATATATAATTAAACCATTAGCAGGGTTTTCTAAGCCTCTGATCAATGTGGTCAAAGGCAGTCCAGATAGGAAAATGTAGCGAGAGTAGAGAACGGCAGTTCCAAAAATGTAATTCACTGTGAAATACTTTGAGTCTTTCACACAGCTGATAGTGTGCTACATAGCTGCAAATTATTTTGCACTTGGAAGTCCTATTGATAAAATAACCAATAATGAGTGAAATAAGGCAAGCAGTAGTGATTTGATGATGTGAGTTCTAATGTGCATTAATGTGGCTATATCTGTGCCAAGCAC